TGAGGGTTGCGATCCTGTTGCCGGTCCCTGGTCCGGTACGGGGGCAACACTGAGGGTTGCGATCCGTTGCCGGACACGGAAAAAGACAAAAATAAATAAATAAATAAATAAAAAATAAATAAATTATAATTACCTAATGACAATCTTCATCTTTCCAACATTTCATATGAAAAACAACTTTATATTTTTATGGGAATGTCACAGATTTCCTCAAAATATATTCAGCTATGTAAATAAAATGTCCTCAGATTCTGGACAGTAGAAACAAAAACCGTGAATGTTAGACCAATTTGATAAACTCAGTCTGCTGCAGTCAGTTAAATGTTTCCCAAAGTTTAGGTTAAAACAATCTCTCTCTGCCTGTTTCCCTCAAAATGGCATCTGGGAGGAAAGAAGGTAGGATGAGAAGTAGCTAACATGAACCTGAGGCATTATTGGGGAATCTGGGTCCTGAAATCTGCACATTCTGTTTTGGACTCTTGTGGGACTTTTTTGTAGGAAGGCTAATTTTGGCTGCTCCTGGGTATTCTCTTGGTAGAAACTGCTGCTAAAGACTGCTCTGACCTATCTCAGCTGGGTCAAGGCCCTGTGGAATGTCCTGGTTGATTCAGCCTCACCAACCCTGGAGAACCCTCTGAATCTCTGCTATAATCATCTTCCAGTTCCTTGACCCTCAACATGGGAGGTCCCTTAGCAGATCCTCTGGTTCACCATACAGCTACTGTTCATGACATGCCTTTGGGCCCTCCCACAGTCACTTTCGGAGGGAGACTCATTCTGCTTAAACACTCTTAAGTCACTGAATTTACGTGACAAACTGACCCCTAGATTAGTTCTGAACAGCCTTTTAGGCCATGTGCTTCCAATTTTCCTGCCTTTAGCATGCCCTTCTGTTACCGACAGGGCAGGCTCGGCTTGCCCTTTCGCATTAAAACAAATGACCTGAAAGTCCAAAAGTTGATACAAGGATTGGAAGGTTTATTCAGATTACCGGTACTCAACTAAATGTCTAACCAAGCAAACAAACAGAAAAGAGGAGCAGTGGGATCCAGTTTAGCCTAGTCCTAATCGGCGGGGCCAACCTATTCCATTAACAGTAATTGATAAAAGCAGTTCTCCCCACTGTTTCCAGCATAAAGAAGAAAAATATCGACTAGATTTAAATCAGAAAAACAAAGCATAGCCAGGAGCCTTCCAGGTTTTACCTATACAGACGTGGATATAATCCAACCAAACAGAAGAGGGCTCAGAAAATCAGAGAAAGGTAAAGAGAATAAACCATTGCCTTGTCAGAAGTTAGACCAGAGACTCCGGGAGAGAACTACCAGCAGCAGAGACATGGGAGCAAAATAGTGCCAGTGGCCACTTGCCTCTTGTAGAGTCCTCTCTGGTGCCCAAAGCTTTCCAATTTTTTGCCAATGATTAAATTAGGCTCTCAGATTCCAAAGTCATAGAAATGAACAATGTACCCAATAGTAAAGCAAGTCTGTCTCCTCAGAGGAGATAGACTTATGCATAAGGGGGGTAGTGACAGTAAAGCTAGCCCCCTGAGGGGAGCTGTTTAGAGTCTTTTATAGGGAAAGGAGTTAAGGGGTATAGGCCAGCGTCACTGGAGGTGGTCCATTGTGTTCTTCCTGGTTGCGTCCTGGGTGCATGCTCAGTAGGCAGTGGTGTTCATCATTGTCACCCCAGGAGGGTCATTGTAGCAGTCACCTTGATGCTTTGTGTGCAAGTGGGAATTCCTAAAGGGGTCTTAAGGTTAATCTGTAACTTTTTACAATTACAGTAAACAAGCCTTGCAACTCAGTAAATAGCTGTTTCCTTTCTTATCTCAGTCTATTTTCTCAGGGCAGCCCATGGGGTAATTATTTGCCCTGAGGCGTCTCATGACTCAGGCGAGGAAAAGTAACAAAGTGTCCTCTGCAGGGAAAATGGAGTCAGTTTGGTTCACAGGCCTAGCCTTACTCTGTTTCACTTCAGCCTCTCTAACAGACCTTTCCTCTCCCGAATAAAGCCCCTACACTCTCTGCTCTCACAATCCCTTAGACCTTTACCCTTGCCACTTACCGCTGATTGGGTGCTCCCATATGCAAAACTCTATAGTCAAGTCCAGTAGACCAAGTAATTAATACGCTAAAAGGGGAAATAAAAGAATGTAGAAAACGGATACATTTCTTGTCAAGAAAGAAATTACTACAGAGCCTCAAAAGCCAGTTTTGCTGATAAAAGTGATTGTCTTTGAAGAAGTGAACTGGGAAGCTGGAGGATGGAATGGGAGGGAGGCTCAGGTTTCACTGTCTACCATTTGGTACCTTTTCAAATTGGTACCATGTTCAGTGAAGACATTAAGCTGGTTTGCACCAGTACAGCTCTACTAGTCCTTTTCAGCTTTGTCCATTCTGACTGGTCAATAGTCCATCCTGAATGATCAGTACCAATTTAGTTCCTGTTAAGTATTTTCAATATTACTCCAATATGCATAAATAATCAATGAAGGTGTAATTGTTTAAGCAAATTTTGGGAATGTTTTTCTAATGGGCAATATTTATTCCTGTTAATCCTAATTTCTTCCTTTCTCCAGCTCACCTCAACACACGCACACAGGCAGATGTGTGCCTCAGACTGAATAGAAAGGAA